CAACTTAAAAATAAGCAGAATCAAATGGGCACCCTTCATGCTTTGGGGAGCATTGAAAGGAGATGTAAATAATTTTGAATTCGGTAGATTATTCTTATGGGAACATATTCCATTGAAAACAAGCTTTCTATAATGGTTACCGAAATTTCCATTTCAAACTCATCTGTAACTATTTTCAGTCTTCTTCTCCCTTGCCAGAGCGCCGCGCAGCCCTTCTCCTCCCCTCCTCCCCTCCTTACGGATATTACAATTGGCCTCAGAAATTACAGCACTTCCCTTTTGTTCAGCAGCTCAGTGTGATGGGTTGTATCTGCACATTTGAGACCAGCATCTTTTTTTTCAGCATCTAAACAATAATGCAACCACATCACAGTGTGTTTAGTTGTGGTGTTGACCTCCATCAGCAGTTTATTCCCTGCAACACTCGAATGCGTTAATATCACTGTCCCTCCATTGTAATTTAATTAGAATCATGTTTATAGTCCTCTTGGGAAAATCTTTAGTGTCTCCTGTGTTAAAATAAAGCACCTTTGGTTCTCATCTGTCTGACAATTTGCTTTAGAGGTGAATGACCCAAGAGTTGCCACTGTAACACTCCTTCTGTTAGAGCCGAGTTGGAGACGCAGTGATGAGAAAAAGAAGTCCCCTAATTTGGAACATGGGATGTGAGTCTCCTTTAACCCTCTGTCTAGTTTCTCCCTCTGATTTTTTTCTAATGGCTGATCGCCGCTCATGGGCCACTGTACTTGTTAAGTGTGTGGTTATAGTGAGAGAACAAAAAATGAGGACCATTTGAAACAATAAAATATGTAAAAAGCAGGGGGGCTGGAGGGATGGCTCAGCAGTTAAGAGCACTGACTGCTCTTGCAGAGGACCCAGGTTTTGGTTCACAGTACCCACAAGGCGCATAACAACTCAGCAGTTAAGAGCACTGACTGCTCTTGCAGAGGACCCAGGTTTGGTTCACAGTACCCACAAGGCGCATAACGACCATTTGTAACACCAGTTCCAGGGATCCCGACGCCCTCCTCTGACCTCTGCAGGCATTGCATGACACGGGTGCACTTAAATGCAAGCAGGCGATACACTCATACACATAAAACTTTGAAAACAAAATATTTTTTTAAAAATGAGAACCATTTGAATCAGGTAGAGAGGCAAACAGTGTGGGGTTCCCAGCTGTATATTCTGTTCGCTTCAGAAAAGAGCCAACACTGGGCAACACTCCCCTGGGATCTTCTTGGGTCTTTGCTGGACACTAAGCCTAAGGTTCCAGTAGGTAATTATGGCTGCCTGCAGATTGGTTGGGCAAGGCCTGAGAAACACAGCTGGCTTCCTCTCTTTTGGTCAAATGATCCTCCCTTCTGTGATGGATGAGTATCTTCACTGAACGTTTCAAAAAAGGGTTTTCTGACCTTAGCTTAGAGTTTTGCAGTCTTGAGCTGTCATCAGGAATGAGAGTTTAGGGGCCGCAGTCTCTTAAATCTGGCCTGCTGCCTCTAGGTTTTGTCATGTAGTTGAAGTTGTCAGCATCTAGAAGCTTCTGGACAGGAAGTGGTGGGGAACATGGCATATGATCCCAGGGCCAGTGCTGAAGTGTGCCATGTCAGTGTAGTTGTGAGGCCAGGGAATCCTGTAGAAGAGTCCACTTGCAAAGAGCACAGTGAATTCACTATGAAGGCACAGGGCAATGAGAGTGTTAAAGGTGACCCCCTAGCCAGACTCTGGTTGATAGAGTAGAGGTAGAAGTTCCAGGGTAAAATCATTTGGGGGTGAGGGACTGGAGTGTGGTGGCCTCCTTTCTTATCGATGGACTAGAGGTTCCTGTGAGTCCTGGCTGTAAAGCAGAAGTCATCATGTGAAATAACATCTTTTTCTCACCCTGTGCCCTTCCACTTGAAGATCCTTTGACTGTGCAAGGCTTTCTTCACCAACAGTTTCACTTCTGCAAAAACCATAACAAAACAGAAAGCTATTTCTGGGAATACAGTTAGCTGTATATATCTAGATACACGATGAGGTTAGGGGGTCATGAAGGTAGGCATGTGAAGAATGCAGAGAATTGTCTGAACCACATGGAGCAGACTGTGTTTGAAATGTTCTAAAGCTCATCACACCTAAAGAAAACCCTCACCAGATGTAAAGTGTGTTTCTCATATATGTGATTAAGTATCTTTGCCTCGTTCACCCCACATGACCCCAAAACGAACACCAAAAAGGATAATTTATTCTTATGTTAGAGTTGCTTGAAATATGTACAGTATTTGGTAAAGTTTAAGAAAAGTAAAGCTGAATTTTTGCCTCTGGGTGACCTTAACATTAGGCATTGTGGTTGATACAAAAATCTTGTCTAGAGCTAGAGAGATGGTTCAGTGGTTAAGAGCAGTGGCTCCTCTTGCAGGGGACTTGGGTTCAATTCCCAGCAGCCACATGGCAGCTAACAGTCTTTAACACACGCCAGTTCCAGGAGCTCCAACGCCCTCTTCTGACCTCCTCGGGCATGCAGGACATGGGTGTACTCGTATATATGCAGGCAGTACACTCGCACACATTTTTTAAAAATCCAGCCTAGGATATATGAGCCTGCCCTTAATTAAGAAATTTACCAGGAAATTTTTAAGATGCATATTTAAACAGAAATATTCCAACTACCATCCTCACTGCTAGTTGATGCCTTAGGGAAGGATAGCAATGCCATCTGGAAATTATAACAGTGTGTATATATTCATTAGAATCAAAACTTCCTACCATAGCCACCAAACTTTCCAGGCTCTGAGCAGAAGAAAACTTTGAATTTGGTTTCAGGGCCAAGGGACTCCTCTCCACCCCCTTGCACATTTGATAATATTAAAGAACTTTCTTTCCAAAACGTGTTCCCTTTCTTTTTTATTTTTTGGCTGTTTCTTGTAGCCTGGGCCGCCCTTGAACTCATCTTCTTCATCTGCCACCCTGTGGGTGTGCACCACCATACCTGGCCAACTCCTTTTTGCTTTATCTTAATCTAGGATTTTCTTTTGCTCCTGAATTTTATTTCATAATGTCATCTTAATGATCTTTCCTCCCAGCTTACTTTTGGACCCATGCGCCCCATTTTCCTTTGTCCAGTCAAACCACAGAAACTAATGGAAGTTAGGTTTATATGTGGACTGTAAGTCAAACTCGTTCATATTTCCACCGGAGCTGCAGATTGTTCTGACTCTCTTGTTGAACACAGCAGTTGGTTTCAGGTTGTTTTTGACATTATTTTAATGTGAAACTATTTAAAACGATGGTAATAACCCTTCCCAGGTCAGTTTGCTGTATCTAGTCTAGCAAACACTGCTTGTTTGAAGTCAAATGTATCTATTGCAACTTTCCTCATATCCTTCTCAGCGATAAGTATCTTCAGTTACTAGCAAACAGTTTTTTTAAAGAGCTATGAAATACTTCAAAGAGAAAGAAAGCAATTGATTGTGATCTGGAGGAAGAAGGGAGGAGATACCAGTTCACCTTGCAAATAATTCACTGTTAGGAAGGAAGAACTTTAAACACTGGATATTTTTGTTTGTGATTACTATCTAGTGAGATGGAGGATTTAAAAAAAAAAAAAAAAAAAAAAAAAAAACTGCCAGTCGTGGTGGCACACGCCTTTAATCCCAGCGCTCGGGAGGCAGAGGCAGGCGGATCTCTGTGAGCTCAAGGCCAGCCTGGTCTACAAAGGGATTTCCAGGACAGGTGGGGCTACAGGGAGACCCTGTCTCAAAAAAAAAAAAAAAAAAAGAAAACAATTAAATCAATTGGGCCTGTAGTTCAGTTGGTACCATTTACCTTGAATGCACAAAGCCCTGGCTTTGATCCCAGCACCAAATAAACTGGGTTTGCTAGCACATGCATATAATCTCAGCACTTAGAAAGTAGAAGTGGGAGGGTCAGAAGTTTGAGGCCATCCTTGCCTATGTAGTGAGTTAGAGGTTAACCTGGCCTATGGGAGATGCTTTCCCAGAAAAGAAAGACAAAACTAAATCTAGATCTTGATCTTTCCACTTGCAAGCCATCACTTTCCCACTTTCTGATTCTGTGTACTCTTACTGGATTTGAGGACACAGTCATACTTTGATTAGAAGCTAGGAACCTTGCCAGAAAAGGGGAAGCTTAGTTTGAAGGCATTGGTAATATTCATTATGTGACTTGGAAAAATATTTTCAATATTTTATTTATTATTTTTATTTTATGTGTAGGAGTATATTGCCTGCATGTATGTAAGTCCACCCATGTCGTGCAGTGCCTGAGGTCATAAGAGGGTGTCAAATCCCCTGGAACTGGAGTTATGGACAGTTGTTGCCACCATGTGGGTGCTGGGACTCAAACCCAGGTCCTCTGCAAGATCACCCAGTGCTCTCAACTGCTGAGCCATCTCTCCAGCCCCAGAAAAATAACTTTTGAGAGTTGTTTCAAAGCTGCTACCAGACCTCTTTTTTCATTCACTCACCTTGCACCTCTATTATAGGAATAAAGCACTGGTGTGTACACCTGTTGACTTAATTCCAAAAGAAAAATCCCATTTTCTTTTTTTTTTTTTTTGGTCTTTTTGAGACAGGGTCTCCCTGTAGCCACAGCTTGGCCTGGAACTTGTATGGAGAACAGGCTGGCCTGGATCTCACAGAGATCTGCCTGCCTCTGCCCCCTAAGTGCAGAGGTTAAAGGTGTATGCCACCCCCCACCCCCCGATGCTAGACATTTGAAAGACCACGACATCACTTACAGCATGTCCAGTCTGAAGCCAGTGGGCTGCACACATCCCACGATAGCTGTAAATATAGCCCTACACATTTGTAGATGACAGGGCCATGTCACAACATGAGACGATTGACCACCCCTGGCAGGGGATTTCTTGGGCAGCTGATGTCCCAGGAGTCCCAGCCTTTTGCCACCCAAGCCCCCTGAGGTAATTTCACACATCCATTGCAACCCTTTCATTTTCTTTTCCCCTCCCCTCTTCCTGCCCTTACTCCTAACAGCAGGAACGAATTTCATATACACCTCCAGAGAGCCCAGTGGCGAGCTACGCTTCCTCGACTCCGCTTCATGTTCCAGTGCCTCGAGCGCTCAGGATGGAGGAAGACTCGATCCGCCTGCCAGCGCATCTGCGTGAGTGTTCACTTTCCAGGGGATGGAGGCTGGGAAGGAAAAGGACGGATAGGCTGCTGGACCAGGTGGCTCCAGAGAAGAGCAGGGGCTCCCAGTGAGGGGCTCTAGGTCTCAGATGGTTTTCCCGGGACTTGGCCAGCTGTCGGGACCCTTTCACACTCATCCCATCCCATCATGCCTCTGACAAGTTTAAGATTCTTGTCCCTTATTTCTCAGTATTTTCATTTTCATGCCAAAAAAGAATCTGCAATATATGGCAGGGTTAACAATCTCCTAGAGGGCCAGATGATTTTTTGTGTGTGTTTGTGTGAAGTTTCTATCTCTGAGTTCATCTCCTTTTTCATGTTTTCTTTGATCTAGTGACTCTGTTTCTGATTCCTCAGACTCCTTTGTTTTTGAAATTCTGTTATGTGTGTGTGCACATGTGTGCCTGTTTGTGCACGTGCACCCATATGCACATCAAGGCATGTATGTGGAGATCAGAGGACAACTTCCAGGAGTCAGTTCTCTCCTTCCATCATGGGCTCCAAGGATCGAACTCGGGTCATTAGGCTTGCCCTGCAAGTGCTTTTACTCTCTATATCTTCCCGGCCCACAGCGCTGTTGTTAAGCCGCATGCTCTTCTGTTCTCTAAGGTCCCTCTCCCTTCTCTTTTCCTGGCTACTTTTCTTTCCTTTGTTTTTATGTGCCAACCACGTCCTATCCTTGGCCCCTTCTTTTGATCTACTTCCTTCTCTTCTTTCTCTTGGCCTTACTTTGCCTCAGTAGATTCACCCTGTTCTCCTGTATCACACTTACCCTTGCTTCTACTGGGTCTGTCTGAATCTTCAACTCCATTTTGGCAGAGTACCAGCCCAGTCTATGTGACCGGTACTAGTCTCTACAGCCTTGACCCCTGCCATGTCCTTTTTGTTTGTCCCTCCACGGCTATCCATAAAATGTGTTGGAGCATCCAAAGAAAATGAATCACCTGATTCCCCCCTGATCACTGGTTGTCAAAACAGAATGCCAGATCTGAATGTTGTCCTGAGGCTCTGGAGGGCACTGGAGCTCCCCCTTGGCCTTTTCCAAAGTGATTCCCAGTGATTTAAATGTGGCACAGTTCTGCCTACGCACTGTTACTTCCTGGCTGGCACAATTCTGCCTAGCCCCGTCCCCTCTTGGCTGGTGATGATCCCTAGATTTTTCTGTTATCCTCAGAAGATGCTGTGCTCAAAGTAGAAAAGTAGAGAAGAGTGGGAAACAGGATGCAGGCTCAGAGAAGATGATTGGAATCCAGCACCTGGGGATGGGGGCAGGGAGCTGTTCTGGGTCAGCATAGCTGGCTTGTTCCTTCTGCCCACTGTGAGGATAATTGGTGGGATTCTTTCGAGGAGTTGCGTGTATTAGAATCCTCCTTCTTCCCCATGAATATTTGGACTGTGTTGCCTACTGTGATCCAGACATCCCTGTTTCACGTCTCTGCTGGATAGCTTTAGTGTCAGCTTTAGTGTCTACACCTGGGTAGAAGGAGCCTCATTTGGTGAATTGCCTCCATTGGACTGACCTGTGGCTTGGGGCATCTTCTTGATTATTGAGTGATTCGGGGAAGGCCCAGCCCACTGTGGGTGGTGCCACCTCTGAACAGGTGGGCCTGTGTTGCATAAGAAAGCAGTCTGAGCAGGGGCCAAGGGAGCAAGCCAGTAAGCAGCCTTCCTCTATGGTCTGTGCTCCAGTTCCTGCCTCCAGGTTCCTGCCCTGAGTTCCTGCCTTGGGCTCCCTGATGGACTGTGACCCGGGAGATATAAGCCGAATAAACCCTTTCCTCCCCAAGTTGGTAGTGGTCAGAGTGTTTTGTCACAGCAGTGGAAAAACAAAACTAGAAGAGAAATTAGGACCAGAAAGTGGAGTATTGGCTGTCACAGACCTGACGTTGATGTTTTGGGGAGGATTGTGGAAGCGTTTGGAACTTTGGGCTGGAAAAGCCATTGAGTGCTCACAGTTTGTTGCTGTGGAGCTTGGAATAGTTATGTTGAAAGAGTTGTAGACAATGGAGGCCTGGCTTGTGATACTTCAAAGGGAAGCGGAGACTATCAGGGCTGTTTGTGTGATATTTTGAATGGAGAATCTGTGGGTTCTGGTCAGCTGGGGCTGAAGAATCAGCTGTGATTAAGAAGAGACCAGAACCTGAAGCAAAACAAGTAAATACTGGGACAATTGATGCTGGTTAGCTGGGGCTGAAAAATCAGCTGTAAGTAACAAGAGACCAGCACCGCTGTGAAGTCTTCTGGGAGGTATTTCTTCAGGGTCAACGCACAGAAGTTGTGGTACAGTGTCCATCTCAAGCTGGAAACAGGACTTGATAATTATCATGTAAAGAGTCTCCTGCATGGTTGTGGTATTGAAAGTGTGAAGGGGTCACAGAGAGCAGGTGAAGCTTGGCACCCTGAGAGGCCAGGAAAGGCCATAGGTGCAGCCTCGGTTGCAGTGAAGGGGTCATGGAGAGAATCTGAGGCATTGCACTCTGAGAGGCCAGAAGAGGCCATTGGTGAGGGTGCAGCCTCAGTTTCAGTGGAGACCCCAGCTTTTTGGAGATGCCAGGACCATGGGATGACCACCAAGGGTAGCAGCAGATGTGGAATGGAGCTGGTCTGCGTCTGTGAGAAGAGCTGTGTATGCTGTGTATGACAGAATCAGAGCAGTGGATCTTCCAAAACCCTTTGGAGCCTAGAAGATCGTGAGTGAATCCCAGATGTCCAGCCTTGAGCTATTTTATTGGACTTAGGTTTTGCTTAGGTATGCCCAGTTCTTCCCTTTGAAATAAGATAGTACTTGTTTTGGATTTTACCAGAGCCGAGAGTTAAGAGGTTTTTAAGAGACTGAACTTTTAAGTGTTTGGGTTTTTTAAAGGACTGTGGGGCTTTTAAGGTTGTACTGTCTTATGTTGTGATAGTAATGTTAACATGTCTTGGGGACAAGAAATGGAAGGTTGTGGTTTAATAGTGATGTGTTTATGTGTTAAGTTAACAAGGAGTCAATTGTGCTGGATAGCTTTAGTGTCACCTTGACACACCTGGGTTGAGGGAGCCTCAATTGGGGAATTGCCTCCATTGGACTGGCCTTTGGCCATGTCTGTGGGGCATCTTCTTGATTATTGAGTGATGTGGGAGTGCCCAGCCCACTGTGGGTGGTGCCACCCCTGGACAGGTGGGCCTGTGTTGTATAAGAAAGCAGGTTGAACAGGGGCCAGAGGAGTAAGCCAGTAAGCAGCATTCCTCCATGGCCTGTACTCCAGCTCCTGCCTCCAGTTTCCTGCCCTGAGTTCCTACCTTGGGCTCCGGATGAACTGTGACCTGGGAGATGTAAAACAAACCCTTTCCTCCCAAGTTGGTAGTGGTCAGAGTGTTTTGTCACAGCAGTGGAGAAATAAACTAGGGCAATTTCTTAAGCAGGGAGATAAGACACAGCCCCACTGTCTATGATCTAAGAAGAGGTTGTGACTGTAAAGCTGTGGGCACCGTCATCCTCAGAAAACTGGACTGCTATGGTACCACTGCAGCAGAGAGCTGGAAAACAAACAGCAGCTGAGGAGTTTTCTTCCAGATACTGCCCTGTACTTAATCTGTTTGCTTCAGGAATGTCCACTTTGAGGTAGAACATCTTCATGCCATGCACGCAGATCACCTCTACTAAATCTCACTTATCCAATCTGCAAATAATTACTGATTGCCTGTGCTCTGCCAGGCACTCTTGAGGTACCCAGGGCACTGAAATGCAGAAAGTAGACAGAACTCCCTGTTTCTGTACAGCGTAAATTCTAGTACAGAGAGAGAAAAAAATTACATTTATCCCAAACAGGGTGGGGAATTTTCTTCCACACTTTTTTATTCCTGTGTTTTGCAGTGTCCTTCAAGGGGCACTAGCTCCTGATGTGCCCTCTGGGTGCCTGGGTGACATTCAGAAGTTCTATGCTGTAGAACTGTCCTTAAGAAACAATCATAATACAAGCAGGCAAGCAGACTGAACTGACAATTGGATCTTAATTCTGAGTTCGTTCTGCCTTTCAACTATAAGTTGATCAATTATTTCAGGTTTTTCTTCATTTTTGTGTTTGGAAAAGAGAATCTCTTTTTGAGGGGGAGGGTAGTCTCCCTGTAGCCCCAGCTGGCCTGGAACTTACTATGTAGACCTCAATCTCACAGAGATCTGCTTGCCTCTGCCTCCTAAGTGCTGGGATTAATGGTATGTCCCACCATGCCAGGCTGGAAAACAGGGAGTCTTTAATAGTCCATCTGACTTTGAAAGATGACAAAGTCATATCTCAGGCGACCAACACTTTGGTTTCTCCTTGAGTATGCAGCTTCGTCATTAAACCACCTCCTTCCTGTTTCCCTGCATATCACAAGCTACCGTGATGTAGGTACAGTGCACTGTCGTCATAGTTAATTATTGTGGTGTTTTCCTGTACTGGGCACTATAAGAAGCCCTGTATATAAATGCTTTTATTTCATTCTCACATTACTATCTATAGAGTTTTCTTTTTATCTCCCCATGTCACACATAAAGGTTTAGAGATTTTTTTAAAATTTACAGTTCTGGGAATCAAACCTAGGACCTTGTACACGTGCTAGGCAAGCGCTCTACCTCAGAGCTACATTGCCAGCCCAAGCTTCAGAGAATTTAAGTATTTTTTTCAAGTTTGATCACATAGAGTTAAATTCACATTCAGTATTGTCTAACCCAGGGCTTAGATGCTTAATCCTTATGCCATGAAGTATGCATTTAATCCATAGTTTATATGGATGAATGAATTTAGGGTTGATGCTTAGTCAGTATACACTGATATGACCCCAACATTGGTTCGTGGCTGGAATCCATTTCAACTGTTATTCTGTCTGTTGCTGAAGAACTTGCACATCACCCTTGGATGGATGGGTCCTCACCTAGATAATTACCCACGGTAGAGTTGTAGCACATTACTGCTGACCTGGGGGCATAGTCAGTAGTTAAGTATATGGATT